GGAGCAGCAGTGCATCTGGTACAGAATGTTCCTTGGTTTATCAGAAAATGAGTCATGACCCTTTATTAGTGACTTTATTAACATTTGTAACTGCAGAATTGATTAGGTTTTCCCAGAATGCGCATGGTCAGGAGGTATTGAAGCATCCCAGATAGGTCTCAAATCTATCACATGAGCCTGGGACTCATCTTGGCAAGAGAAAATTATTTTTTCCCCTCGTGCTTTATCATTCATATGGATCTATTAATTTTCTGTCGAATGCGTAAGACATTTGCATACAGCGTGAATGTGCCTCCACACTATTACTACCATTGAGGGAAGTGGCTGGAACATCAGGGAAACATTTCTGAACACTGGGAAGAACATTTTGGTTGCCCTCTTTAAAGAGGTTGTGTGGGCTCTGACAACTCTGCTTTTTGTTCCAACGTTACTGCATTGCAGATTTCCCCCCACATCTCTCTCTTTTTATTTAATTCCACTCTACGGATAATCCAGATTGTTTAACACAGCATCATGCTTTAAAGGGATTTCAGATCTCTGTTTGTATGTTTGCTTACTCACTTTCAATCAAATAGGCTGTGACTGCCACAACAGCCAACTTGTTTGTTCCTACATGACAATGAGCATGAGGGAAGCCTGGATGAAATCCAGAAAGCTGTTTCTAAAAAAGGAAGGAGTAATTAGTAAATGTCATTTGAGACGAGTATGGCGAATTAGAAGACTGGTGGATCATGTAATTAGGACTGGAGCCTTTTCATAGGCGGCTCAGAGAAGGGCGAGGACACCACGGCAGCATCCTCGGCTGAACAGTGACAGCACTACGAGCTGTTACAGAAAACACCAATTGACACACACATACGCACACACACACACACACACACACACACACACACACACACACACACACACACACACACACACACACACACACACACACATTCACACACTTGCACACTAACAGAAACACAATACTGAACACATACACATGCGGGTGCAGATCACAATGTCAAACAAGGCTGACAGTGATGCATGATTGTTTTTTTTCTCGTTTCACATATCTGACCAGATGTCATGAATGTCACATGTGAAACACAGCACATGGGTTTCATAACATACAGTAGGAGCTTTTAGGGAAGATTTGAGTTTACATATGTGAACTCCCTCTCAAATCAAGTGAAAAGGTATGTAAAATTGTGATGATTTCAAATGCCATTTCTGTTCATTAGGCCATCCATCCATCCATCCATCCATCCATCCATCCATCCATCGTCAACCGCTTATCCTGCGTACGGGGCCGCGGGGTTCATTAGGGCACTTTTTAATTTTTTAAAATACATTTTTTCTTTGAATCAGATATAAAAGCCTATTCTATTGTGGAAAAATACAATTCAAATGTACAAACGGCCTAGAAAATAAATACACTTCCCATTTTAATGAATAAAAACCAACCAGTGTCTATAAGGTTTGTGCTTTCAATTTAGGATTTCCACATGTGCCCTTTTTTAAGGCTTAACTTAGTGCTGTAACGGTACAGAAAATTAATTTTGAGAATCAATTAACATTCAAGTCATTTATCAAGCAAAAGATGGCAACTATATGATGGCTTTGCTCCTCTAATATGAGGATTTGCTGCTTTTGTCGGTTTTATATCATGATAAATTGAGTATCTTGGTTGTCTTGCATTTTATAGACTAAATGATTAGTCAATTAATTGAATAAATAATCTGCAGATTATTCAGTGATGAAAATAATCATTTGCTGCAGCTCTGATTTAACTTTCCCATTTAATCAGAATACACAAACCACAAAAAATTGTTTACATTTGTGCACCATCTTCAATGCAATTCTGTTTAGGAAAAAAATCTTCACGAACGTCAGCTCTTTTCATGTAAAACCTTCATCAGTCATTATTGTCACTCATAAACAAAACACACACACACCCCTCACCCCTTAAGCAGAGACACTGAGCCCTCAGTTTGATAGAAGCTCCAGCAAGAGAGGGGCTGCTGATTCTGATGACTTAAAACACATGCACAAATTCATTTAGTATTTAGGAAGCGTTACTTTCAGAGGCATAATTTCACATTCGCTATCCTCTCGAGATTCAGTGATCCACAGAGCTGGATGGACTGGAAAGCCCCACATTAAGCACAACATCACTGTTGTGTTGCACCGTGGCTCATACAGTGCAGACCATAAATACCCACAGTGTTATCAGCCTCTCACATGTGTGTCTATGCAAATCTGTTCAAAACTACGCTAGATCACAAAACAGATGTTCACCCTCATTCCTCTACATGTCAGCCAGGGTTTCTCCTATCACCTGCATTATTTGTTTAAATATTTGGTTAATATCTAACTAGTGAGTGACTAATTGATAAAAAAAAAAGAGGCTTGTTTGCGGAAGACACTGCAGAGCCTACAGGGATTTATGGCAGAATAGATCAGGGAGAGCGCAGATAACAATGGAGATGGAGTAATAAATAAATCTCCTCTCTGAGAAGTAGCCGGCAACTGACAGCAGCAGATTAGAACCTGTGCCTTTTAAACAAATTGGGCGCTCAAAGAGGCATATTGGCTGTGTGCTTGACCATGTTTTATAGTGCGGCTCTGTACCCACTGAGAGACATAAGTCTGTTAGCATGACATCATTGTGCAGTTCAAACAAACTCACACTGCAAATTTGGGGGGGGGGGGGGGGGGGGGTTGCAATTACCCTTTTAACTAATTGACCTATTAACTTCTGTCTCACCATGTATTGCAAACGCTGAAATACAGAACAAAGGTTAACAGTGTAAAATGAGATGAAAAAGACAAGGGGAACAAGCCAAACAAGTTTTAATAATTTGTTTTCTGTTTGGGGACTTTTTCATCAGGAAATAACTTATCCAGGTTACAAAAATAGATCTGAAAAAAAACAACAACACTAAAACTCAGAAATATACATTTATATTGTGTAACTTGAAATGAAATGAAATGAAAACATTCAAAATAATGCTCTTACTTTGATTTCCCAGTTCCTAAATACAGGTTTTGTAGAAAATACTCAGACGTGTTTAAATGTGTGTTATAAAAGGTAAACCACACTTGTGTCGGAATTTTGTTTTGTATAAAGGGGTATTTGCTATCATTTTAAACTAATAAAACAATAACATCCTGCATAGTAATGGTGTTTATTTAATCTCAAAGACACATTTATTTCAACTTTTCACATTTGACTTAGAGTTCCTCTTTCGTTGTAGGGCATATGTATATCTGACAGTAAAATTAACCTGACCAATGTTATGCCCCAGAGTCTATACCTTACTGTAAGTGCCACAGAGTCAATATGGGGCAGCAGTTTATCTTTTACTATCTACTTACTGCCACTGGCTGCATGCTTTAAAATACAGCAGCCACTCACAGCAACAACTGGTCTGAAACAGTCAGACCACATGTTAAAGAACCATGCTAGTGTTTTTGCAAGTTTTAGCCTAAGTCACATACAGTAGGCTACTCAACACTGCAGCTAATCTTTTCTTGAAGCACAATGTAAAGGTATTTTTTCCAGGCAACCATTGTAACATGTCAAGCAAAGGTTTAACCAAGAAAGAGAATGCTTAGGTTTTAGGTTCACTGTCACACTCTCATGGCTTGCCGGGCTGCTTGAATAGAACAGTGCCATTGTTAATATTATTAATAACACCTAAAATATCATGCCATAAAGTTGATGGCACTATTTGTGGTTTATAGTTGGGTTTGTAGTAAAAGGGCAAAATGTGCAAAAACACTGGTACAAAATTATTTCAGTATTTAGGCTACTTGTCTTTTGTTTTCTGCAGTAGGTATTTTGTCCAGTCCAAGTTGTCACGTTAGCATAGAAGCTCAGTCTTGACATTGAGATGTGTGACAAAATGTGGATGAAAATCATGATGCTTTTGAAAACTCAGAAAGAGCTGGTAAATAGACCCAAGACACACATTGTAACCTTTAAACTGAGATTCATTAAAATGGGCTTTTCTGGTTTTGAAATCCTGTCCTCCAGAGGTTCAAGTGCACCAAAAATTACTCCTCTAGTGTGTACACTGTTAGAAATTTCTTGTAATTTTACAGGAAATTCCTGGCTAATAGTTGCCGTAAATTTACTGTAAACAGTATACAGGACTGTTATTGTAAAATAACTACAACAAGGTACTGTACTTCCTGTAATTTCACAGGATATAATACTGTAAATATTACAGCAAAATTTTATATTTACGGCAACTCAGTAGCCAGGAATTTCCTGTAATTTTAGGGATTTTCTGTAATTTCACAGGACAGAATATTGTAAATATTACAATTAAATGTTGTAACTTGGATAAATGTTCTCTTTCAGACTTCTGCAAAGAAAAACAAAACTATAATTAATATATTTTTATTTTCTCTTAAAAAACAGAGTGCACAATGCACAAACAATCTATTAGTGTACCAAACTGGTTGAACATGAGTTGTCAAACATACTAATGTCCCCAATGTCCTCTAATTTCCCCTGCCCACCAATTCAAAATCCAGCAGCTCTTGAAGAGGTTACATATATGTAACCTCTTCAAGAGCTCAAAATATCTACATTGATTGCTTGCTTGCTTTGTCACAAAGAATGGACTAAATGGTTTGAATCACAGAAACTCTGGATTCTACTGCAAATTGACATGCAATTTTAAACTAAATATTGGCGAAACTTTAACTGGTAAATGACTGTTGAATGAATGTTAAAAAGAAGAGAACAAGCTGACAAAGAGAAAATAAGCTGACAATAAATGGATTCAGCGGCCTGCTAAGTGGCTATAAATCAGTTAAAAAGATTGTTTTGTTTTAAACGTCTACTTTCCATTTGTCTCTTGTATCTATAATACCTAATACTGTGGGCTTGAGAGGAAACCCAACTTATGCCGCATCTTGAAACGTTCCTGTCCAAGGTCCTGAAATCTGCTTTCCCAAGCATGCGTCACGTGACTTCACCCAGCACTGCCTAGCTCAGCACCAAGCCAACTGGTTTCTGGAGATTTCATGTGAGAAAAGGACGAACCCCGAACCCCTTCCTCTCTCACCTTGCGACTGTTTTTCTTTCTCTCGACAACCGTTTCCGACTTTTTTTAATCGGATAATGTGGACCTTCAAAGCGCTCGGAGTATGACAAGAGATTTTAGGATGCTAGACTTGTGCTGCTCGTTTTGTCTCTCTCTTTTTACTTTAATGCCAGCACGGTGAATGCGTCGGACAGAGTGGACAAGCCTGCTGCTGCTAGTTGTCCGCATTCAGAAAGTCAACATCTTGTCTTTCTTTATATTTTTTTCTCTCTGGAGCGACTTCAGAAGGATGTAACGACCGATCCACCTTGCACAGCTGAAGTCTCCTCATCAAAATGCAGAAAGGAATACGACTTAATGATGGTCATGTCACCTACCTGGGGCTTTTGGCAAAAAAGGATGGTACAAGACGAGGGTGCTTGAGCAAAAAGAGCTCAGACAACACGAAATGGCACTCAAAGTGGTTTGCTTTGTTACAGAATATGCTCTTTTATTTTGAGAACGAGTCCAGCTCTCGACCCTCGGGATTATACCTGTTGGAGGGATGCATATGCGACAGGGCGCCTTCACCGAAACCTTCGCTGTCAGCCAAGGAGTGTTTGGAAAAGCAGGTATGGAGAGCGCGCGCGCAAACAAACACACACACACACACACACACACAGTCGCTCTCTCTCTCTCTCGCTCTCTCTCTTTCTCTCTCTCCCTCTCACTGCTTTTATTGTTTCGCAGGCTTCACGTTAAAATATTGACGAGGTGCAACACAGAATGCAAAATTTGCTCCTGCACCGCAAACGCCTTTGAACTATTTTAACCCCAAACAAAGCGCTTTTCTTATGCATATATTGTTCTTATTTCCCATCGCACGATGACCTCAAATCCAGCGCAGTAGAATGGCACTAGGTTCCAGATTGCTGTATTGCACGTTATGTAATTCATGCATGGCATTAATGATGAGGTAACAATGTTAACACCTAATGATATTACAGCAGCCTTGGCATTGGGCTATGCAGTGTTTTACTTTAGGTTGCCGCACCCGAGCTTGATCCCTTCATTTTTTTTTTATTGGCGAGATAGTTTTTAGTGGTGTATGGCATGTTAATGCATTACTTTTGTCATCAGGGTGATGCATTTGCATCATGTCTTGCAATATATTTTGCTTTTGACTTTCACTCATCATCTTTTTCACGTTTTGGGCGGAGAGTGATATACCTAATGCTCCTTCCAACAAAACGTGCAAAAAAAGGAGTTGTTGCCTCAAGGTTTCTATCTTGTGGTGAAACGATGAAATTACAGTTGACGCTCCAGAAACAGCAGGGGGCCAGTGATCAGTCAGCACTTATCTGGGTCACCTGAATGAAATGATTGAGTCTAATACTGGAGTTTTCATTTGCATTATAGATGGTAATTGTTTAATCACTTTTTACAAGTGGCAATTTTGACTCTAGCACACCCTGTTGCAGTGTTATAAAGACTAGATGTAGCAGGATTTATACATTTAAATCATATCTGCTAATTAAGTATTCACTTGAATAGCAAACGTAAATCAACAAAACGTGATAGTGAGCAGCAGGAAGGTTAGCAGGTCTGTCAACATTGTTATTATGAAAAAACAGTCCAAGACCATAATGCTTCACTGCCACCGGCTCTCCTCTCTCCAGGCTCTGTGCCTGACTCTGTAGGTAGGGCTGCAATCCAAAGTGAGTCCAGGCTCTTCCTGTGAACAGCTGCCTTTGTGCTGACAAAGCAGAATGCAACACAGTGGCTAATGTTGTGCCCCCACCGTTGCTTTAAAGGCACCCCAAAACAAACCTCCCTGAAAGAATTTGGATTCTCTATGTTTTTGTTAGCAGTGCTGTTTCCATCTGCATTGTGCTGTTTTCAATGCATACATTAGAACATGGTGAGAAAAGCCTGATTCATAGATCTCTACCATCTTGGACTGAATTCATGATAAACCAGAGACAAGATATTTGATTTGCTTTGTTCTGTGAAAGCACGAAGAGGTGCACAAATAATGAATGACTAATGTGACTGATCAGACAGGCTGCTGAAGAGTTACCTCTCAAGGAAAACAAACATCCTTAACAAGGACGAATAGGAGTAAGAAAATATCAGCTCTATCTCCCATCCCCACCTGGATTCACGGTTTTGTGGCAACGTTTGAGCAATCTGCCGTAATCCCTACATTATATTTATCCTCAAATGCAGTTAGTGTGAAAATGATAATGCATTTGAGCCAGAGGTTTCTATGGCAACCCTTATTTGCATCCTAAAGAATGATGCAGTTGGAAGAGGCAGGGTAACAGAGAGGGGAGAAGTAGTGTCGCATCTCTCCTATTAATGCAAGCACTATCTGGGCTAAATGTATTCCTTGCAGTACCTTGGAGGGGTCACAGTCCATTTATAGAAAACACCACTCGCTCACACTGGGAAACAGCAGCACTTCAACCAATAACTCAAGACGCTATGGGAGCAAGAGATGGTTGATTTGTACTGTAAATCGAAATATCTGACTAATATGCACCAGTAAAATATGATATCCTGCACTCTTTAGGGTGGGTGAAGGCTAGCATCCAAACTAAAGCTCCTCATTAAAATGAAAGTGGTTGCAAGGAGAGTGATTACCGGGATGTAGTCCTCCAGGGAATATATTATGTATAGATTTCATTATATAATTCAGGAAAGCCCTTTTTCAGCATTTTTGGAATACAACTGAGCTGTTTATCAGCCAGTAGCAATATACAAGGAATAGTAATTATTCCACTCATGTAGAAAAAACAATTAATGTCTATTTCATTATTTACCACTCATTCACAAGTCTTCCCCCATATCAATTTTCATAGATATAAACAATAAATGATAATAATAATAATAATAATAACAAACAACAACACAACAACAACAACAACAACAACAACAATAATAGTAATGATAGTAGTAATGATAATAATAATAATAATAATAATGATACTCTACATGATGAATTGTATCAATGTTGTGTCAATCTCATGTCACTGTTAAGATTAGTAATTATTTTTTTAAAGGTGAATGACTCAGCCATAAACCTAACGCAGGAAGCAGACAGTGTGCTTAACATTGCATCACACCAGACACTTACCTCGCTCTGAGAGCGATCATGAGAGAAAACTACAACAACATGTATTCCTCTCTGCCAGAAATAGAGTTTCTTTGACGGTAGGATGAATACCTAATGAATGTGAAGATGGAAGAGCAGTCAGCCCTGAATAATGATCAGCTGCAGGTTGATAGGCGCCTGTTGAACATCTGCAGGCCAAAGATTAGCGTCTGGTCTCCCTCAACACAGCTGGAACAGTCCACAGGAAAGGACATTTCACTTTTTTTTTTTTTTGCATGTATCCAAATAGTTACATTTGTGTCATTTAATCAGTGATAGCAGGCATATTCAAATCCTCTATAAAGTAAAAGTGGCAATACTAGTAAAAGTTTTGTATTCAGAATTTTATTTGTGCAAAAGTACTAAAGTTTTTATGCAGAATGGTTCCTTATGAAGGAGGATATCCCAGCAAAATAGATGTTTTATAAGTTGGAAGCCCGAATCATCATTGGCCCCTATCAATTACCTGTGCTTAATTTATAAAGCCTTAGTAAATTACTTAATTGATAAAAATAACATATAATAATAATGATTTTCAGTTGAGTTTCAGTTGCTAGGAAACAGGAATTGCACAGTTATGTAATTGGCCGTGGCTCCAGCCTCCATGTCTTATGGCATTTCCTCCTGGGAACCAGAGACATCCCAGGAACCGAGCTGGGGGAGGCTTCCCTCAGTGTGCTCCATCAATTGCAGTGGTGGGCGAGGAAGATGTGGCTTCCCCGGGCCCTGTGTGGTTTTAAATCACCCGCTTGATGTTTGCAGCAGCCAGGTAGTGGAACAAACACAAAGACAAAAGCAGAGCAGAAGCTGAAGTTAAGCCACTATATTCTAGATTTATTTAAAAGATATGCAATAAGGAATGCTCCTTTTCTGTGTAGAACATATAACATGTCAGATTAATGATAATCCTGTTGTTTCTAGCTAGAACTCCTCAACATCTCCCCCCTTGTTTGTTTCAGTACTATTTCACTGTCAGCTTCACCCATGAAAACCAGAAGGCGCTCGAGTTACGCACAGAAGATGTAAAGGACTGCGATGAATGGGTGGCTGCAATATCACACGCCAGGTAAAGGCACATGTGCAGACATGGCAATTAGAAGTTGAATAAGTCAGCAGAAGGTAAGTGATCTTTGACAGATGTGCTCAGTCTGCAGGGGATGTTGCCATGGTTTCATTCATGGGGTGAAAAATTTAGAAATGACAGAAAAATGCTTTGTTCACAGTAAAAATCTGATTGCTTTGAACGTAAGATGAAACTACATACACTGATGTGAACTCCATTACTTATTACTTCATTACTGCAATATAAAACCGTGTGTGTGTGTGTGTGTGTGTTTGCATGTGTTACAGTTACAGAAACTTGGCCACCGAGCATGAGACTCTCATGCAGAAGTATCTTCATCTGCTTCAGATTGTGGAGACGGAGAAAACAGTTGCTAAGCAACTTCGACAACAGATAGAAGATGGGGAAATAGAGATTGAAAGGCTTAAGTCAGAGGTAATATTCACTGTGATGCCTTTACACTGAAGAGTAAAAATGTAAACAGACACAGTACAGTACATTATTCACATCATGCGATCTGAACAGATACGAACAGCATCCGAATTTTGATGTCACTCGCCATTTGACGCAATTTGCCACAAACATCACACCTCTCCTTCTCAGAGTCATACCTCAGTCACATCTAAACACATTTTGCTACAACCAGCTGAATACACTCTTTACAGTGGTGTCAGGATCTCCGATGTCCATTGAGGATAAATGTCAATAGATCTAACTTCAGATCTTAAAAAGATTCAGACTTTTTCTTCAGTATTAAAGTAATCCAGGTGAGTGTTGTATGCACAGCATGAACAGGAACTGCTACTAGCTAAATCAGTGAAACTTTCCATGATGAAGATTTGCCATAATGTTAACAAATAGGCAGTGAGAGATTGTTTGAAGCTCAATGTTCAGACAGTCAAAGAGTTTGAGATTTGTTGTGCAGTTCAGGATAAGGCTTGACAGATAGGACATGTCCCACAGGTGTTATTTTTACCTTATGATCAGATATTGAAGCCTGGCACCTCGAGCGACATGACAGTAAATGGGGAAAATGGGAGGTGCTGAAGTTAGGGATTGGGCCAAGAAAGCTTTTAAGACTTTTTTTTTAACTTCATTATTGTCTTGGCAGCAAAACGAGTATACATACAGTGGGTACGGAAAGTATTCAGACCCCTTTAAATTTTTCACTCTTTGTTTCATTGCAGCCATTTTCCAAAAATCAAAAAAGTTCATTTTATTTCTCAGTAATGTACACTCAGCACCCCATCTTGACAGAAAAAAAACAGAAATGTAGAAATTTTTGCAAATTTATTAAAAAAGAAAAACTGAAATATCACATGGTCATAAGTATTCAGACCCTTTGCTCAGTATTTAGTAGAAGCACCCTTTTGATCTAATACAGCCATGAGTCGTTTTGGGAAAGATGCAACAAGTTGTTCACATCTGGATTTGGGTATCCTCTGCCATTCCTCCTTGCAGATCCTCTCCAGTTCTGTCAGGTTGGATGGTAAACGTTGGTGGACAGCCATTTTCAGGTCTCTCCAGAGATGCTCAATTGGGTTTAAGTCAGGGCTCTGGCTGGGCCATTCAAGAACAGCCACGGAGTTGTTGTGAAGCCACTCCTTCATTATTTTAGCGGTGTGCTTAGGGTCATTGTCTTGTTGGAAGGTAAACCTTCGGCCCAGTCTGAGGTCCAGAGCACTCTGGAAAAGGTTTTCGTCCAGGATATCCCTGTACTTGGCCGCGTTCATCTTTCCCTCGATTGCAACCAGTCGTCCTGTCCCTGCAGCTGAAAAACACCCCCACAGCATGATGCTGCCACCACCATGCTTCACTGTTGAGACTGTATTGGACAGGTCATGAGCAGTGCCTGGTGTTCTCCACACATACCGCTTAGAATTAAGGCCAAAAAGTTCTATCTTGGTCTCATCAGACCAGAGGATCTTATTTATCACCATCTTGGAGTCCTTCAGGTGTTTTTTAGCAAACTCCATGCGGGCTTTCATGTGTCTTGCACTGAGGAGAGGCTTCCGTCGGGCCACTATGCCATAAAGCCCCGACTGGTGGATTGCTGCAGTGATGGTTGACTTCCTACAACTTTCTCCCATCTCCCGACTGCATCTCTGGAGCTCAGCCACAGTGACCTTTGGGTTCTTCTTTTCTTTGAGGATTATGGAGGCCACTGTGCTCTTAGGAACCTTAAGTGCAGCAGAAATTTTTTTGTAACCTTGGCCAGATCGGTGCCTTGCCACAATTCTGTCTCTGAGCTCTTCAGGCAGTTCCTTTGACCTCATGATTCTCATTTGCTCTGACATGCACTGTGAGCTGTAAGGTCTTATATAGACAGGTGTGTGGCTTTCCTAATCAAGTCCAATCAGTATAATCAAACACAGCTGGACTCAAATGAAGGTGTAGAACCATCTCAAGGATGATCAGAAGAAATAGACAGCACCTGAGTTAAATATGAGTGTCACGGCAAAGGGTCTGAATACTTATGACCATGTGATATTTCAGTTTTTCTTTTTTAATAAATTTGAAAAAATTTCTACATTTCTGTTTTTTTCTGTCAAGATGGGGTGCTGAGTGTACATTACTGAGAAATAAAATGAACTTTTTTGATTTTTGGAAAATGGCTGCAATGAAACAAAGAGTGAAAAATTTAAAGGGGTCTGAATACTTTCCGTACCCACTGTACATATGAGGAATATACATGCCAGTAGAAAACAATTTAAGACATGTCTCCAAATACACTTCCATCCATCCATCCTCCAACATCTTCAACCACTTAACCGTTCAGGGTTGCGAGGGGGGGAGAACATGCAAACTCCACACAGAAAGGCCTGGGATGACTAATGATCAAACACCAGACCTTCTTGCTGTGAGGCCTTAACCACCGGACCACCCTCCAAATACACATACAGATAGTAGCCCCACTTTACACCCCTGAGGGTCAGGATCCATTTGGGCCATTTTGGCTGAGCTTCTGATGGCGGACGTTTTACAGTGTTGGAGTTCTCAACTGAAAAGTGAGCACTGTTAAAACATCCAGGATTTTGTCCTCTCTGACTAATCACAATAACCAAGGATTACAGGATTCTCCATTTACAGGCAAATGTGTGGCAACCACACGTAGTACCATTCAGACGTGCTGTAAATTGACTTCCTGAACTGGCACAATAACACTATATCACCACTTTCTCTTGCACTGCACACTCATTCTTTTCCAAAATTTGTCCCATCCTGCCAGCACAACAAATAACAGCTGAGCCAGTGGGAAAATGATGGATTATGCTGATTATTGTCATGTCTGCATTATATGTGTATAAAGCATTGTGAGGAGACAGAAATGGAAGCACTACTCCATCACAGAGAGAGAGAGACATGTTCAGGCCAACCACCCTCCACTTTGCATCTCCTCTCAGAAACAATGCCTCCAATAGGGCAGTGTTCCCAGCTGTATTCTTCAGATCAAATAGTCATTTTACTTTAATGTGCAAATGTGATGCTTGAAATCAAATGATGTGCTGAATATGCATGAACACGGCTTTATATTGCATCTCTTCTATGAAATGCAATGACAATTAACTCTCTCACAGTCTACAAAGAAAATGAAGACACTTAGCTTCAAACAGTTCGAGGCAGCTTCAGTCTGTTAGGGGGGGAGGGTTCAGCACCCTCAGTTTACCTCTTGTCAACATGCAGGACAGTTTGGTACATATTGCACTTAAATCACCAATGTAAATCAATATTGGTGCAGAGATATCCAGCCAAGTGAACACATCTAGTTTAGTCAGGCTAATGTCTCAGTGTTGACAGCGCTGACAGGTCCTGTCCTGTTGACTCACTCACTTTGTTTACTTGCTGGTACAGTAAGTGAGAAGACAAAAGTGTGTGAGTGGGAATGACTGGTCATTTCTGCGGTTGCATCCCTGGCAGATCTCTGGGCTGCTCAAAGACAACGAGAAGATTCACGCCAGCCCTGCAGCCACCCCAACTGATGACGACTCAGAAATCAAGAAGATCAAAAAAGTAAAGCATGTGATTTAAACTAGTTTACTACATTTTTTATCTTAAGATGCTGAGAAACTGACTACAGCCATTACAATAACAGGTCCAGAGCTTCCTGCGAGGCTGGATCTGCAGGAGGAAGTGGAAGACAATCATTCAGGATTACATCCGCTCTCCACACGCAGAGAGCATGAGGAAGAGGAACCAGGTGGTGTTCAGCATGCTGGACTCGGAGGCCGAGTACGTCCAGCAGCTTCACATCCTGGTGAACAACTTCCTGAGGCCGCTCCGCATGGCAGCCAGCTCCAAGAAACCGCCCATCACCCATGATGATGTCAGCAGCATATTCCTCAACAGGTCGGATCCTCTCATCACACAGAGCATTTCCATTAATTGCCTTACAAAATATAATCATGTTAAAGGTAGCCTGTGGAGTTTTCTTTACCAATAGTAGCACTATGGAGCAATGTTACAGTGAGCAGGACCTCGATTTGTTTATATCTCATGCACACACACATGCATGCAAGAACAGGCAGCAATGAAGAAGACTGCTAGTTAGCAAAATGGATGCAAACTATTCAGATTTAACAATATTTCACAAACCAGCTTTGCAAAACACAGAGTAATAATCATAAATGTGAATGTTTAAAAGAAAACTCCACATATACCTTTAACAAGTTTAAGTCTGGAAATGTAATTTTAAAGATGCATTTAGTGATTGTCTACCTTAAAGATGCATTTAGTGATTGTCTACCTTAAGGGGTCAGAAACACAGAAAATGTATTGCTTGGTCTAAAAATAAAATAAAAAAACGTGGGAAAATCAGACAAAATCTATTTCAAGTGTCAGTATTTTGATCAGCCTTTTCTGTCTCATTTCAAGACTGACACACGAAAGTCCTGAAAGAATTATGTCACCATCTAGTAGGTTTTAGTGATGAATGGTTGGTTTGTTGATCTGTCAGTCCAACACTTCTGGCCATAGGGAATAAATTACCATTGCAGTATACTTGTAGCGGATAACGATGTTGTGCAGAAAAAGAATGTTGATTTTGGTCAACCCTGACATTTCCACTAGAACAGCTAAGATTTCGAACTTTCGAACAATTACGTGCTGAACATAGGCTACTCTTTCTCCTGAGAGGGTGCATCCCTTTGTTTGGCTGCAGATCTTGTAACTATACTTTTACATAAAGAAAAGCAAAATTTAAAGGTTATGAGACGTCAATATCAACAAATATTAAGTTATATTATTATTAGGTTCAAGCTTCTAGATTGAGGTTTGTGTCCCTTCAAAAAAAAATTTTGCTGGACACACAGACATCGAAGACAGTAATTTCCATGCAACCTCATTGGCCTATTCAAAATCCACCCACACACTCATCCAAGCACGTTCATGCTCACAACCTGGACACTCATGCTCTTGTACACACTGTCTGATATCAGGGCTTTCATTTAACAACATCATTCACAACATCACTGGATGTCGGCAGAATTATTAACACAAACTCTGTAATTGTTTGAGAAGATAATATTTTAACATTGTTTCTATTTAAATTTTTTTTTTTTCAGTGAAACTATCATGTTTCTACATCAGATATTTTACCAGGGTCTAAAAGCCAGAATAGCAAGCTGGCCAACATTAGTGTTGGGTAAGGAACATCTCCTTTACTGTCTTCATTTCATTTTCTTGCCCTCAGTATTGTTTATGTCATTGTTATGGTATCTTGGTATTGATCTTCTATAGCGGACCTGTTTGACATCCTGCTGCCCATGCTGAACATCTACCAGGAGTTTGTGAGGAACCACCAGTACAGCCTGCAGATCCTGGCTCATTGCAAGCAGAACCGAGACTTTGACAAGCTGCTGAAGCAGTACGAGGCCAAGCCCGACTGTGAGGAGAGGACTCTGGAGACTTTCCTCACCTACCCCATGTTCCAGGTTAGCTCGTTTGTCTCACTGATATACACAAGAAATATAAAGGCAGACTCATTTGTTTGATGCAGAGCTGCAGCCTGGAGCCAGTTTTTGTCGTTAATTTTGAGCTCTCACAGCCATTCTGGGCAGAGTTCTTCTCTCCATAGATGAATGTGACCCTTGGGCCATATAATTCACCAACTTAATACTAGGTGGCTATAGCTATGCCAATGAAACCCAGTTGTAGCTGTCAGTAAAGCAGTTAGCCTCTTTGTTTTCTGTAAGGGTTTTGACTATCAAGTCATTTTAGTCTTCTTTTTTTAAGTTTGCAGACCACTGTCACAGTTACACCAACTGACAGATGTTGTTTATGTCTACAGTGTTTGTAAACATTGAAATTATACATCCGCTTCTGATCTTCTGGTAACGTGTCCTAACAGCACACAGTGAATTGCGCAAATTTGAACCTCTATTCCACTGCTATCAGTTTCCATTAATAGTCATTTTCAGGTTTTATTTATTTATTATAAGCATATCTTATTTATTACTGCTGCATATCAGCTACTGGAGATAGTTTGCAATATGTATGATGAATTGTGGTGCCAGTGAGTTTTGGCTTACTGCCCAAAATGACAAAATCCCAACTATTAATTATTATTTAGTTGTACTTGTAGTGTACATATGAGAAGTGTAGTTTTATTATTGATTAAATAAAACCCCAGAACTAAATCAGACTGATTTCCACTCTGACCATAGCAATATTTTCAGCCATGTGGTTTGGCCTCTATTCTGGCTATCTGGCTGTCGTGGCTCAGCCAGGACTTCAAAGACCCGCCTCCTTCTTAAGCACTCATTGGCTCTCTGACCGATGTCCCATTTTGTAGCATCACTGAGCAAAAACAGAAACAGCAGGCACTTGTCTGCTTTTGCTCAGAATATCCCTGTAGTGTTATTCATGTCTATAAAAAGTGGTCGTTTTTGGAGCTCAGGCTTTAATAATGCCTCCTTTCTGGCGAGGCACGCAGTTTCCCGACAGTCCACTCTGCTGGGGCCTACTGCTGGCTGTGCTGTGTTGATAATAAATTTTGCTGATGAGTGTAGATTGTGCTCTCCAATGATCTACTTCTCATTAGTGTACACACACGTATATTCCTGCGTGTGCATCTTCATGTTGTTGTTACATTTATGCGCGCATGTAAGCTGTTATACTCCCCAGTTGATTTCTGTTCTGTCTCTTTAGATTCCCCGCTACATTCTTACGCTCCACGAACTTCTGGCGCACACACCCCATGAACATATAGAGAGAAACAGTCTGGACTACGCCAAATCTAAGCTGGAGGAGCTTTCCAGGTACTTTTATATAATATGGTTAAAGCCAAGACTTGAGTGGAATCTCAACTGAGCAACATAATTTTACACAACACAGAATAAAATGCAATGGTTTGGTTTCAGAAGGGGGGCAGACAAAATGGAATCATATTCTTGCATTTATATACATTGACATACATCTAGCAAATAAGTAATTACCAGTATGGTGAAACTGGTTATAGTTAACAGGTTGGTAAATAGCAGTGTCTGCAGTCTTCCTCTCAGACTGCATTCAGCAGTCATCATATAATCATAAAATTAACATTTACAGGGAGACTCATGAGACTTATGTTTGAGTCATTTTTGTGTCATGTTCCATACTGGATTCTCTGCAGTCCTGTACAGATCAAATGAGAATGATGAAACGTCCTTTTTCCCTAGAATCATGCACGATGAAGTGAGCGAGACCGAAAACATCAGGAAGAACCTGGCAATAGAGCGCATGATCGTAGAGGGCTGCGAGATTCTCCTCGACACCAGCCAGACGTTTGTAAGACAAGGTAACCCCTGCCTTTAAGTGTTGTACTTGAGATCCCAGCGAAAAAAACTCTAGGTCCACGGAATTGCAGCAGAGGGGGATTTCCTGTCCCTCCTTACCTGTCTGACAGCCTGATCTTACATCCTCAGCTCCATATTTAGGAGGAAATACTCCATTCGCCATCTCTCTCTCTCTGTCTCTCTGGTGTACAACATGTACTCCTCATGAGGAGAGTCTTTAATTTCCAAGTGTAATTAGACTGTTCAGAGGCAAACTGATGATGAATCTGGGACTGTAAATGTCACACGTCCCCAGCAGGCCTTGATAGATGAGGAAAGGGAAAACAGAAATGCTAGATTATTTAATCCTTAGTATATTGCATGACCGTACATGTATTCATATGTAGAGGATATGAACGCTATTTGCTATTGATTCTTTCTCTTATTAGGTTGTTCCCCTGTCCTTGCCTCTTTTCCACTCATCTATGTATCTTTCTCCCTCTCTCTTCCTCCTTCCTTCTATTTGCACACACTCTTTTATTCCCACATAAAGGGTCCCTCATCCAGGTGCCGATGAGCGAGAAGGGCAAGATCACCCGTGGGCGACTGGGCTCTCTGTCTCTGAAGAAGGAGGGGGAGAGGCAGTGCTTTCTCTTCTCCAAGCATTTAATCATCTGCACCAGGGGTTCTGGGGGAAAGCTTCATCTCACCAAGGTGGGCCTGCGCTGCTGAGCTTGCAGTGGAGCTGTTCCTTATTTCAAACATCACAATCCACAAAACCCTGAATCTCTGAGCTAAATTGAACGGATTAACTGACAGGAGATGAAAGCTGCGGGGTTAGCGATGTCGTGGCTTTTATCATTGACCACTGGAGCTACACACACCCATGCAAGCTTGCACACGCACGCACACACACACACATGCACAGACTCATTGCACATGTTTGAAAGCAGCTGCTTGATATCACTTTGATGTGTGTAATAGAGCAGTGGTGTATTATTACTCCACATTACTCTTCTCAACATTACAAAGGGCGATTGATGTTTGGGGTCTAAGATAAGGCCAAAAAGCTTTCAGATGAAGGCCTTACATATAATTGCAATACAACTAGAGTCTCAGATTTTATAAAAAGCATTCATTTGGAGTTGTGTATCTGGCCACCTGAAATGTTTATGTAAGTCTTTTTGTTCATTTTTAGCTCCGTTTTTGGTTTCTACCAACTCTTGAGGGAAATATCTGGGTCTTTAGCTCCTTAATGCTCAAATAGTTAGTCGCTGTTTTGGTGCTAAGCCATCGAGCCAAAAACGACACTATGAGAGTGAACCAAAACAGTAAAGTAATTTTTTGCCTTACTGTTTTACCTACGGCCACGTCAGAGCCATATTATGACAAGAAAAAAGGGTGAAAGACACAAGGGTGAATGGCAGTGAGGATCCTCAGAAACTCAAGGTGAAAACAAGGTTCATGAAGGATTTTTGACAAACTGTTTTTTTAATTTAAATATTATAAGGGAACCATACTCTTGGATTATCTAAATTTCTCTAAATTGGTTAAGGAGATAATTCGGGAATTACACAATTTTTTTAGACCTGTTTTGTATTTACATGCAGTTTGAAATTGTGTCAAACAGCAATATATGGCTATTTAACTCAATTGCAGCTGCTCCATGATCCTATGGACATGCAGAAATTGAACTGAGGTGGGCACGTTTTTTAAGCTTTGTCCGAGGAGAGGCCCGCAGTCTCATGCTTTGAAAACCCCTGGCCTATACAGAAAGGCAACCGATCATCAAGTCATAAAGGACACGTGTCACAGATAATTGTATGAGTCTTTTTGAAGATTTGTTCAATGTGTTTTGCTAAGACGTTTAGAGTTGATGACACCGACACCATACAATTGATTGCTTCTTTAACAAAGGGATAACAGAACATCAAATAAATGAAAATGTTAATATGCCTTGAATAAAAAAGGTATAAAACAGAGTCAATATCCCCAATCTACTCCAAAGGTGTTTCAGTAGAGAGTAGAGGCAGTAGAAAAGCTGCTGAGCCCTTTTCACTATCACATATTTCCACTTTGAAGGGTAATTCAGATGCTGATTTCATTTTTAATTCTGAAATTCAAAGAAGCAGTCAGCTGATGAACCTTGAACGTAGTAGTGTAAACAGTTGTAGTTTGTGTTATAGTATGTCAAATGAGGCTGGTGGGAAGAAACCAAATGTATGTTGTATGGGTTTTTTTGCAGAATGGAGTAGTCTCACTTATAGACTGCACTCTTATGGAGGACCCTGAGGGGACAGACGATGAGTGTGAGTGTTTTATTCATGTAGCAGCTTACATAAATATGCATCATATGTACCATGTGTGATAATGTATAAAATATATGATTACTAGAATGTGCTGGGATGTAATAATATTTTAAAATCAATATTTGGAACAAATGAGAAATAGTGCTCCAAAGTGCCACTAGAAAGTAAAATAGACTTAAATAAATAAAAATTGATTAATTCCTCTGTTTTTATAAGAATGTTGATCTTTTCTTCATTTGTTGTTAATGTAGATACATTATATATAACACTTGAAATGTACTGAATTTATTTTATTTATGTGGGTGTATGTTTATGTGCATGAATTTATAGAGAATGACATCTCCTTATGTCTTTGTGTTCACCTCAAAGCCAAATCAGACAAGAGCGGTCAGGACATGGAGCACCTGGACTTTAAGATTGTCGTTGAGCCAAAGGACAGCCAGTCATTCACAGTCATCCTGGTGGCCTCCTCGAGGCAGGAGAAGTCTGCATGGACCAGTGACATCAGCCAGGCATGTCAGCACACATCACAGTATCCAGTAGTCAGACAAGAAGCCGAGGATGTCGGCAGAAAGCCTGCATATTACAGAACTCACTAACATTTCCTCTGTCCTTTCTGTTTACTCCTTTTGCATCTGTCATACAGTGCATAGACAACATCCGCTGCAATGGGCTGATGATGAACGCCTTTGAAGACAACTCTAAAGTCACAGTGCCACAGATGATCAAGTAAGCTTACTTATACATACTGTATATGTATGTATATGCAACTCTTTGCAGCTTCTGCTTTTTCCTGGCATTTATTTCTGATTTTGTTCTTCTTTGTTTTGCTTTTTGAGCAGGTCGGATTCAAGTCTGTACTGCGATGATGTGGACATCCGCTTCAGTAAGATGATGAACTCCTGCAAGGTGCTCCAGATCCGCTACGCCAGCGTCGAGCGCCTGCTGGAGAGACTGACCGACCTCCGTTTCCTCTCCATCGATTTCCTCAACACCTTCCTGCACTCCTATCGCGTGTTCACCACCGCCGATGTGGTGCTAGACAAACTCATCACTATCTACAAGAAGCCCATCAGTGCCATCCCTGCTCGGTCAGTCACATTACATTTGGCTGGATTTGAACCTTGAAAGGCTGTTGACAGCATTTACTATAGACAAACACATGATTTGTCTGGCATACATCCAGACCTGTCCACGCTACATAAAGATGAGATTGATCTATAACAATATGAAGCTTTGTCATCCTCTCGTCAAGGCATGTGCAGGAGCCAAGAACCTTGCAGCCGTATAAATGGTTGCTTTCTGTTTTTACACAGAAGAGTTTAAGGAAGTGTGAGTAGTTTCACCTGAGGAATCTCAGTTCAGTAGCAGCTCTTACAAGATCGTAAGCCAGATGTATGTACAAGGGTACAACTTAGTGATATTGCTGATCGAGGAGTCAGTGACTTCAAGAAAGGAGCTCACGCAACATCCATATAAAGAAAAGTTCAAATGGTCAAATTATTGTTTCTGGTGTTTGTTGTGGAAAAGATAGTTAAATCCAGTTTGCTCCATACCAGAGACTAAAAATCGGGAAAATCTCCCCCTCTGCTGCATTGATTTTGACCATTTCCCTTTCATTCTGTTTCTTGCCTTGCTAGGTTGTTGGCATACCCCTTTAAAAATTTGCATTATATCACATATATTATAATTCTACAAATTAAATCTGACAGTAGAGAACGTAGTCAAGTTTAGTCACATTTGCATATGAATAAGATGGATGTGAGGTTGGTGAAACGAGAGTCCAGCTGGTGTTCAGGGAAATTTTTTTTAAAAGAAGTTATATGTGACAGAATGAGTTTGATTGTGACACTGGAACAGTTAAGTCCAGTAAAGCTTTGTGTGTGTATTTGGGGGAGTTTGTTTTGTTGGTTAATGTGAGCACAGAGAAGCAGCAGATGGAGCAAAGGACGAAGACAGGCTCTACGATGCTTCAGTATCACTCTGTGTGTCTATGTGTGCGTGTGTGCGCGCATGTGTGGTGAATTTATGTGTGTGTTCAATGGTCGAAGGCAGGAATTGGGTACAGTCTCTCCTGCCTGCCTGGGAGTGTCTCAACTGGGCTCTGTCGCTCTATGGCAACCAACCTCGGTGCTGCAGGACCCCACCCTCCCCTCCCCTCCCTCTCTCCTTGTCTGCAAAAGATCCATAGCGTGAAATATTGACGCGGAGTGTTGCAGTGGGACTGACTCGCTGCTCCACAGGCCTAGAGCAGAGGGCCCTACTGTGGGGTTCAGATCACGGGGAGCCCCCCCATGGCCACTCCCTGCAGCATGCTCTCCTGTAGTGCTTGTCATGTCACTGTGAGACACCTACACTTGGTTGCTCGTGTCAGCAGTGGCCATGCGCACTATCACTCGCTGTGCTATTTATGGGAACCCGTGAGGTCGCCAGGAGGGTTGCAGGGAGTGGGAGAGGTTTTCTGCAACACTGCAGCTTGTATCTTGCTCTAAAACATTGTGTATTTAGCTAAGCTCCTAAAACATATATAACAGTATAGTTACATAATATCAAAGAAATATATTCCTAAATATGTCCTAAATTGAAATGCACATATCCTCCCTTGATGCAGGTCCCTGGAGTTATTCTTTGCCAGTAGTCAGAACAGTAAACTCCTGTATGGAGAGCCTCCCAGCTCCCCCCGGGCCAGCAGAAAGTTCTCCTCCCCTCCTCCTCTCGCTATTGCAAAGAATTCATCCCCAAACCGCAGGCGCAAGCTCTCTCTCAACATCCCCATCATCACTGGGGGCAAAGCTCTTGACCTGGCTGCCCTCAGCTGCTCCTCCAATGGCTATGCAAGCATGTACTCAACCATGTCCCCATTCAGCAAGACCACCTTGGACATCAACAAACTGTACGTGTCCAGCCCTATCACAAGCAAAATCCCTGATGAGGGAGAAGATAAGAAGGACAAGGTGGAGGACACCACAGTGTCCAAGCAAGGTAGGTCAACAAGAGCTGGTCCTATCAGTAAATTATTTCACTGTTGATTTGCTGTAATGATGTTTTCTAATGATCCTTGTAATGTTGTTATGTTACAGATCTCTCCGTACGAGAAGAAAGCGACAATGATCAAAACCAGAGTGATGACGGGGACCCAGAAGCCTCTCCTACCAAGTCACCAACCACTCCAAAAAACATCAAATCGAAAAACTCCTCAGGTACATTGTGTCCTAGTGATGTAATTACAACTCAACAGTTTCATATGAAAGCTTGTAAACTGCACCTATATCCATTGTCCCAGCCAGTTTCACATTCATCACTGAGCCCTCCACATTTGTTGCACAGTTACCGACTACATAATATTAATTATTTGTTTTGGAAAAAGGCCGTATTTTATATGGATGAAATATAGAAATCTTTAACTTTGCGATAGGTTGCAATAGTCAGTTTGTTAATGTTTCTCGTGGAAAACAAAACAAAACATGTCAAGCATAATTCATATAGTATATAAATTGGTTTATGGTTATGATCATGTTGGGAAAGCCAATGCTTGGCTTCAGTAGGTGTTAGGGAAACTTGTGTCATAGCAACTACATCGAGAGCTGTGTTTTCCCTTCCGCCCCCAGTACTGAGGCTTACTGAATCTATAACAAAATCACACAATAGATTTTAAAAGATTCTAATGTGTAAAATAAAGACTTGAAGTGAAATTGTGAAGCAATGAGAGAAGCACAGGGTGCAGGATTTTTAGCTGCTTATGATCTGTCTATGTTCCCAGGATTCAAACATAGCAGACTGCAGAGAATCTGTTGATTCCTCTGTTATGGTGATATTTGGTGGCTATATTTAGCTGCAACCATCTTGAATATCAAAGCCACTTGTAAAGGAACGTCTGGAGGAAAACAGTCATGTTGGCCTGTAGTGCCCCCTAGTGGAGGCTTTTGCAATGGCAAGCAGGCCATTCTGCAGTCTCTCAGTAATAAAATATCTATTATACCAACAGTTTTCTGACAATTTTGAGTCATGTGAAAACTCGCTATTTGTTATGTCTCTCTTTAAACTGACCACTGATTTGATTTACATGGCACCAAAATCAATCTCTTTTGAGTTTTTCTCTCTTACTGTGAACCCCTGCAGAGTTCTCCCTGTTTTCCTACAACAATGGCATGGTGATGTCCTCGTGTCGAGAGCTGGATAACAACCGCAGTGCCCTGTCTGCTGCCTCAGCTTTTGCTATTGCTACAGCTGGAGCCAATGAGGGAACACCTACCAAGGAAAAATATCGGAGGATGTCCCTCGCCAGCACTGGTACACACACCTATGCACTATTCTATTAGGACTAAGGTCCAGTTTCAGTTACATGTTAACATCACGTGGCTGTCAAGAATTTCAAAACTGCAACATGTCAGTTCCAGTTTGCACTGATTTTAGATTTATGGATTCTCCAAACTTGTTGCTCTTTGCGAAAGCTGTGTGTATTACATGAATGAGAGTTTTATGTAAAAATGCAATATATTTTCTGTAGGCTTCCCAACAGATCAGAGAAATGGAGACAAAGAGTTTGTGATCAGACGGGCAGCGACCAACAGAGTTCTCAATGTCCTGAGGCACTGGGTGTCCAAACATTCTCAGGTAAAACATCCCAACACAGTTGAACGCCCTGCTGGAACCCCACCATATTAACACTGGTCTTGTATACATATTGAGTTACTGATTAATGGCTTCTTTTCACAATGATTCTGTAAGTCAGCTTTTGTAGCAGGTAACATGAATTTTACACATTTCTGCAAAAGAAAAAAAATTATTTGACTGAACAAAAAACTTGAGAGCTTGATTTCTATAATTCAGTCAGTTCAAATTAAATGTAGGTTCCTTTCTTGTGAGAGTAGTGATTTCATCTACATCTCAAATGTCTTTGGCCAAGCTGCTAAACTGTGAAGTATTATACCATTGTGCACCATCTAATCTGTCTTTGGTAACACGTGATAAGCAAAACCCATTTTCATTACATACAAAATTACATATGTTCCACCTAGTTGCTTGGAGAGCCTTGTTCTTTGAGGACTGGTGAAAGTCTCTTTGGGAAATGTTTTGCCAGTAACAGACAAAGAAGTGAAACATGAAAACTAAGCAAAATTTGTTTAACTAAAAAACGGAAGACATTTTAAAATAGCATCTATAAAGCAAAGAACATCACATTACTAGTGGTTGAAAGTAATTACACAGTAGTTTCCAAACCTCATGTATGTGTGCTGTGTGTCCCTCTTCAGGACTTTGAGAGTAACAATGAGCTGAAGACAAAAGTCATTGTCTTCCTTGAGGAAGTGATGCATGACCCTGAGCTGCTGACCCAGGAGAGGAAAGCAGCAGCCAACATCATCAGGTACATTATGTAAACCCAGTGTTTGAACTGATGTGTTGTACTGTACGTGATTAGGAGCTTGACTTTCTCTTTTACTGTATGTCAGGACTCTAACTCAGGAAGATCATGGTGACAATCAGATCACCCTTGAAGACGTAACACCTCTGGTGAGTGTAGTCAGTAGCTGCTGTCTACATGTGAGTGTTAACCTTTAGTGCGGGGCAGTTTGAAAGCTGCAGGAAGCAAGATTGTAACAAAAGTATGCAAATGTTTCCACATTTATACAGAAGCACATGGAGCTATGATGGGAATCCACTATGATTCCATTAGGGCTCCAATAACAATTATTTTTATTATAAATGAATATTTTTAGTATTTTAGTATTTTCTAAATTAATGGGCAGACATTCAGTTTACTAACATATAAAACTGTTCACATGTGAGAGGCTTTTTGTTACTTGAAGAGTTGTTCATTTTCTGTTGGTCAGCTACTCTAATTAATTGAAAAGTCGTTTCGCTCTAATCCACATCAACTGAGAAGAAGAGTATTATTATATATATATTTATGTACATTTCTCTACCCAGAGAAAGTGAAAAATCAAAAGCAGTGACCCACTGGCCGGTCTAAAAGAAGCTTGACATACAGGCAGAGATTTTTGCCTCTCATCCGTTTTGTTGATCACAGACGGAGCAGTTTTCTAAACATGAGTATTCTGGTATCCTTTATCAACATCAAATTTACAGATTTTTGAGTATTTATGTTGTGTCTTTCACTCACCTGCCACTTTGCGCTAAGTTGCCAGTTACAGTTTTAATCATCTTCGGGCTTTTTTTGTGTCTCATAGGTGGAAGGAGGGAAGGCCGACCCCTTTGAGAGCCATTCTGCATTGGAGATCGCAGAGCAGCTCACTCTGCTGGACCACCTGGTGTTTAAGGTCATCCCATATGCGTGAGTATCAACCCATCCCAGCTGTACATGTCTGTGGCCAAGAAGAACACACGGACCATTTTTTTTCTTTTTGTTAATCTGTTCACCTCACAGGGAATTCTTTGGACAAGGCTGGATGAAGAATGACAAAAATGAGAAGACGCCGTACATCATGAGAACAACAAAGCACTTCAATGATGTATGTTCCAATCTAAAAACATCACCTGTAACTTGTATTGGTCTTCAAATAGTGATTTGATAGTGAGCTCAAACTTATTTCTTAATTAACTTAACTCTTTTTCCTATGCAAGATAAGCAACCTTATTGCCACAGAGATCCTGCGTTGTGAGGACGTGGTCACTCGAGTAGTGGTCATAGAAAAATGGGTGGCTGTAGCCGACATCTGTCGCTGTCTCCACAACTACAACGCCGTGCTCGAGATCACCTCCTCCCTCAACCGCAGCTCTGTCTTCCGCCTCAAGAAGACCTGGCTCAAGGTTTCCAAGCAGGTGTGCATCTCCCTATGTATTCTTTGTTTCCTCCCAATGTGCTTAGTGTTATGATTAATTGTTTTCTTGATAACCTTTTGTTCTAGACAAAAGCATTGATTGACAAGCTGCAGAAGCTAGTCTCATCAGAGGGGAGGTTCAAAAACCTGAGAGAGGCTTTGAAGAAGTGAGTTCAGTTCAAGGACACAGTTTTGTACTGGATCAATAAAGCAAACATGCAGTACAAGGGGATGATGTGTGTGTTTTTTCCCACCAGCTGTGATCCTCCCTGTGTGCCGTATCTGGGGATGTACCTCACTGACCTGGCTTTCATTGAGGAGGGAACGCCCAACTACACTGAAGACAACTTGGTCAACTTCTCGAAAATGAGAATGGTGAGATGTTTGGCTTCCTGTCACATGAGAGACTTAGTGCAAGTGTGTGTCAGAATTTAACATCAGGTTTCTCTTGTTTTTACAGATTTCTCACATCATCAGAGAAATCAGGCAGTTTCAGCAAACAGCATACAAGATTGAACTGCAACCAAAGGTAAATAAATACCAAAATGTTAGACCAGTGGTGCGTAGTAAGTCCAGGGAAACTTAAGAACTAATCACAGTTTTTCAGGCACTTGTAGGCAGAGCAAGGAGAAAAGTTATATTAAAAACTTTGATTTCATAAGACATTTTGGTTTTAAGCGCTGACAATTTTAGCCTCAAAGGGTCTTTATTAGGGCAGAAATAGTAAAAAAGAAGCTATGTCTACTTGTGACCCCTCTACACATTTCGTATATATCGACCGTCTTGTGGCCAGCACAACCAAAGTGATTATACCTTCTTAGTTTGTTTTATTTTAACACTTTTTGGAGGCCTGCAGAAGTTAAATTATCCAGTAGTTCACAAGAAAAACTCTGAAAAAGAAATCTTATTTTGTGTAGCAGAAACATTTTTTTCTACTTTTCAATCCTGTTCCTGGTAAGGCCTGTGTTGTAACCTCAGACATCCTGACCAAGGTATTGCAAGATTAACTACATTGATTGTGAGACAATTAACAGGATGGGAAATCTGAAAAATAAAAAAATATTTATGTTACACAAAATACATATTTAAATAACAATATTGTTTTCTTGCACTTCTCGTTTATTTTCTTTATAAATTGCTGGATAGTTTTCTTCTTCAGGCCTCTAAAAATGGGGGATGGGTCACAGGTCATAATCTATAGACATTTGCTACAGGTGATGATGGGTCAGAAGTGTTCACTGCTTTATTTTAAGAGGTCACAAACCAAAAAGATCTGGAACCACTAGACAGTGAACAATATTGGATGCCTTAGCTGTTTTGTATTGTTTAAAAAGTGTACAAATTAATTTAATTGAAAGGAAATTATATATCCTGTATAATTATGATCCTTCTGCCTTTCTTTTTTTGTCATTTCAGGTAGCCCAGTATCTACTGGATAACAGCTTTGTTCTGGATGAAGAAAGCCTGTACGAAGCCTCACTCAGAATTGAGCCTAAAGTGCCCAACTGATGGGGATGTTGGCCCTCCACATATTTTTTCTGTTAATATTACACATCAGTTAACATACACATCGATTTTTGTATAATTGTACATGTTAAAGATATTTGCTCTTCTGTACAGTAGGTTTAAGGTTGTTTGACGACACAAAACCTTTCAGTGTTTATTTTTGTTTTTTTACCGTTGCCATGACACCACCTGCTTTAAGGATTTTTTTATTTTTTATTTCTCTCTTCAAGCATAATAACAGAGGTCACTTTGGTCTTCTTAGTGACCAATGACATTATTTTGCAGCATCTCATACTGTGTCGACCTTGCACTTTCTGAGCACTTGTGCTGCTGGCCGTTGTTTGAGTTTTCGATGACTGAGTTTCTCTGCAACCAATGTAGCATTGTAAAAACAACTGCATCAAATCAGGTAAAAGAGCACAGAGAATATAACTGTATTTAAATGTAGAGAGGAGATGACAGTGAGGTATCCAAAGTGTTACTGTCTCTGTGCTTCCCAAACCAAAACAAGAGGGATTTGTTTCTTCATTTCTGCTCACTATTTTAAAGTCAGGGGTTCCCAATCGTTTTTTGCACTGCGGATAGTTTTTATATTGACAATGCCATTGTGGACTTGCCAAATTGGATAGACCAGGGATGAAAACTAAACAGAAAACAAAGCTACTAATGCTGAATGAATGCTCAATGTGCTGATGATGGACCGGTTACCTCACATACTCATAAACTAAGAGTCTATACCGCCATGCCAACAGCTCTGTGGGGCTTTACTTAGGTACAGCAGTGCCAAAAACGTGCCAAATGCTAACATCAGCATGCAACCATGAATATTTGTACCAAATTTCAATGCATTCCATCCAATAGTTATTTAGATATTTCAGTCTGGTTCAAAGTGGTGGACTGATTGTTCGACAGACCAGCATTGTCATCTCTAGAGCCACGCTGCTAGCATATGGCTAGTAATATATTGTTGTTGGAACGTGACAGGAGATGATGAAAAATGCATTATTTTCTAATTATTCAGGTATTCTTGAAGAATTAAAAGTACAGTATATTCGTTGCCTGGTAGCAAATTTCTAAGGGCCAATAACGGTCCAGAGGAGTTGGGAACCTCTGCTCTAAGACTGAAAAAGGTTTAAGTGTCATTTTATTTGTCACAAAGTGATACTCTTCTTTCATAGCCTGTTGTCACATAAGGTGCTAAAACTCACCTTGGACAGATACAGTTTCTTTTATCTAATCAGTTATAATCTGTGTAACAACACAGTGATAAAGAAGGGTTATATCTCTTTAGATTGCTGTGATTTAAGGTGAAAGCTTAGTCATACGAATTTACCGTTAAAATAGAATGGTAGCCTACAGAGAGTTTTCCCTATGTTCAAACTCCATGTTTTTTTTTTTAAGTTTAAGTTCCAAAAAAAAGATCACATGCGGTGGAGAGTGTTGTACCTTCAGGCCCGGCGATACTTCTGTAGAGTAAAAGGTTGTTGCTCTTCTGTAATTAAAAGACAATCTGTCCTTTTTGCTGTTCCAGTGATTGTGGAACGTGACTGTATATCACTCTGTTATATGCATTGCTGTTTAAAACTATGATAAAACGTATGTGAATGACCTCTGCCTGCAGCATTCAAACACTATTTTTGTAGTAGTATAAGAGAGAGTGACCTGCTCTTTATATGAACATGGGAAAGTATTTTGTACTTTGTTGTTAATTCACCTCACTGAGATGTGCTGTACATTTTGTACATGCAACCCTGCTTTTTTTTCTCAATGTGTGAAACACAGTGTAATCCTTTCACAAAAAAAAAGAACAGTTGTATCTCAAGCTTAAACACAAAACGCAACAGTGTGGTTCTAAAACCATGACTTAGAGGTAGGAGACAACTTGAAAGTGTTTTGCATTTATACTGTAATCCTGTCTATAACCATTTCTGTTAGCAGGAATATAGTAACGTAGTGCTTATTCTGTGAATATTTGTATGTATTTTTACTATGTATGTACAGTACACTTTTGAAGCTCATATGGCAGGCATGCAACACCTTCACAGACAGAATAATACTATATACTTATACTGTATACACTTATACATGCACATACTCTTATAAGGTATATAAACAAATAAACATTTGCTGTTAGCAATACCCAGTGGTATGAAAATTATCTTTCAACCCTCATGTTTCCACACCTTAAGATCTATTCCCAGTTTTGTAAGAAAAAAAATGAAAAGATGACGATGATGATGATGATGATGATGACGATGATAACAACAAATTAACAAAAATATGTTTCCCAGTTACCTCTTGCTAATAAATAAATTTTTTATCAGGGTTATTTTGTCTCTAGTGTTTTTGTAGATCATCTGTCAGCTGACATCATGCTCGCTCAGACTGAAATAAAATATAAAATCCCAGAATTATCTGCAAACAAACCCCAAAAGACACACTATTTGGGGTGGCACTTCAAAGATGAATTCACAAAGACCGAGTTTATTGCAATGTTCAGTCACACATTTGCAAATGGACCTCTGAGCTTGCCAGAATGAGAGATACACATTACAAACAGTGTTTTGTCAGTACATTCTGTCTAGAGAGGCTCTTTCTGCCTCTGTCTGCTGGGCATCAAGAGTTGCTGATAACACTGGCAGGGAAAAGATGAGGTCCTAGGCATTACTCTGTCTAATATAAGACAGATCAGTATATCAGGCTTTCAAATGCAAATATGCCATAAGAATTCACAATTTTCAAAAATCTACATATGTTACATGTTAAAACACATTCTGTTGGACACACAGTTTGGGCCAGTGCTGAAACACAAGTTTCACTATCAGGATATAATGTTTCACTTGTTAAGAGATCACTTAATTTTAGGTATCATTTTGTAACCAATTATTTTATATATCTAATGTCAATTTGTTACATAAATGTTTTCACATAGCTGGATTAACCTCCCTGCAGCAAAAAATTGTTGTTTCCGTCCCCATCATATACCCAATACCCAGACCAACCAGGCTTCATATTTTCTTTATGTGAATTAGTTTGAGCCAGTTTGGTTAAACACAATTGTATTGAGGAATGTGTAACGACAACATAAACTAAAATTAAGAGTAGATTTTGGGGCCCCTCTTCATGGCAGGGCAATAAAGATTGGTTAGCTGATTTTGAATTTGAACTGTGGTACAAGTTCTAAAACAAATTTGCAGTTAATTACATTAAAAACAACCAATTAACAAACAGTAAATCTGAGAGTTGTTGGCTTTTTTCATTAAAATATTAAAATGCCCATTCAACATCTCAATAAATTATGGGTTGGTGTTATGGCTGTTTGAGGTATTTATTCGCTGGTTGATACATACAGACTATGAAAAACACACACTAAATGTATCCAACCATTCTGTAGGCCAGTTGTTCTTAAGCTTTTTCACTTCAAGGACCCCTAAACTGACAAAAAATAGAAAAAATAGACCACTTTGATAAGATTTTGTTCCAGGATCGCCCATCTGATAGGATTTTGGCTTTTAGATGTTTTATAACAGAAAGTGTATGAAACCTGTGACTTAAATAGTCATATGTCATTTGTCATTGTGTTACTTATGGATGGACTTATAGTGAAAATAAATTATTCCCCATTTTGCTGGGGACCCCGTCAAGGAGCCCTGGGAGTCCCTGGACCTCACTTTGAGAACCACTGAGTGCAGGCTACACAATTTGACTTTTAGCACCTTAGAAAACCTTAAATCTAACAAAGAGGAAAATCTGAGGTTATTGCAAGTTCTTGTCTCCTTCATGTCACGTGGTCTTGAAGGGTTAATGTAAAATATGAGCAACTCCTTAATAATTAAGTGGCTTTGACATTAGATTCATATCAGTGGTTCAAGATGTGCAGTAGGGCTGCGCACAAATTTCCCATTTGATAGTCTAAATGTAAAAGCATTATGTTTGACACTGATTGGCTGATTGTTTCACTGTTGTAATTTTTTTTGTCAGTAGGGGAATTTGAACAGGCAGTAGTTCACCTCGTGATCTTCTTCACTTCACTTTTAGCTGCTGTCTCTGACACGGCCGGCTGAAGTGGTCGCGATGAACACTGCGCTTTTGTTTACTTTACTGTCCGCGGCTTCGGCTTTTCATCTGTCTGCACGAGGTAAGCTGAGCTGAGGTCGTGCGTTTTTGTACAATAGGCTATGCTTACTTTTGAAGTTAAATTATTTGTGTTAAACCCGTGCTTTCACTTTCATAATCTACCACGGCGTCTATTCATTTGTTCTTTTTGTTTAATTATCTGTATTACATATCCTGCTATGTTGACAATATGAATTGTTTACAGACGAGTTTCACTTCAAGTCATGGATGGGAACGGTATGTTGCAGTATCAAATACAGGATATGGTTATGAAGTTACAGTTCTTCTGACGCTCAAATGTGAGCTACATGATTACAACCGTGTAAACTGATCACTACTCAAATATAATTCATCTTTAATCTAATCTTTCAGCACAACAAGTTGTACAGCGTGAAGGAGTACTATGAGAGACTCCAGATATTCACTGAGAACAAGAGGAGGATCGACAAACACAATGAAGGAAATCACTCGTTCACAAGTAGGCTTTTTGCCTTTACTGTTTTTTTCTTTAATATATTCCATAATAAAATATGTTGAGTCTTGTTTACCTCTTCCTGCAGTGGGGCTGAACCAGTTTTCAGACATGACTTTTAGTGAATTTCGAAAGTCTTTCCTCTGGTCTGAGCCACAGGTAATGGCATTCCACACAGGAAGTAGTGTAGGGCCTACATAGATGTTTGTTATGTTTTAGGGCAGCGAGCCAGGGTAGTTATTTTACATAGTCTACTGCCTTTTACAGAACTGCTCTGCTACCAAGGGGAATTACCTCAGCAGCAACGGACCATATCCAGACTCCATCGACTGGAGAAAGAAGGGAAATTATGTGACAGATGTGAAAAATCAGGTGAAGTTTAACTGCACAATGGTCCACACACATTTTATTGATCTCAAAGGTCACAGTACAGTACATTGTTGCTTTCAGCACAGCAAATTAAAAGAATTTCTGGTGATAACCGATGACTCCGGCCATAATTGTCAATAATATTATAATCCTGTGGTTCCCAAACTGGGGGGGCAGGCTTCATTGGGGGGTTAGGGGGTTAGTACATACTAAATCCAAGAAAGTTTTGAGTTTGTAGTGTTCACACTAGAAAAGTTACAATATAAAGTATACTCATAACAGTCATTATGAATACTAAAAAAAATTTCTATGTGTGCTGTTAATGGACATAATACAATGAAAAAAGTAAAACTCACAGATGAGAAAAAAATTTAAACATCATGTGGTAAAATAGTTCCAGAAACACCCCAGAAAAAAAATACATTTTTGAAAATACATTTTGCTTTCTCTTTGGCAATTTTAAGTTGTAGTTTGATGACTTCTGGCGGCACATACGTATAATTTAGGCCTTTTCAGAGAGTACAAGGGGCATATAAAGAACAAACCGGTGATGCTCATCAAGCAAACATGTCAATCAAATCCAAAATATGAAGAAGCTCTTGGTTTTGAGTTAACTCTCAATATAGTGGGGAAGGCTTTTATCTATTGTGTGCAAAAACTCTGGCAGTCATTTTACTTGTTGTGGTTATTTGCACACACTTTTCCATGAATTCATCTCACAAAATCCCATTATTGTACCCCTTTTTTTGCACCAAAGGGAGGTTGTGGTAGTTGCTGGACTTTTTCAACAACCGGCTGTTTGGAGTCTGTTACAGCTATCAAGACTGGGAAACTCATACCACTGGTGACTTTCTTTCACTTTTCTATGAAAACTGCTGCTCTTGTATAATAAAAATGTAGCACCTTTGTCGTAATAGGCTAAAGAGTATTTACTGTAATTTTTAACTAATGTTTTTATTACTTAGTCTGAACAACAGCTGGTAGACTGCGCCCAGGACTTCAACAACCATGGATGTAGCGGGTGAGAGTCAAACAAATGTTTCCCTCCTCTTTTGATCATTTCTTTCTAACTACCTCTGTTTTCATCACCGCAGATATATTTTTATAACAAGATCTTTATTTATCTCAGCGGCCTTCCCAGTCAAGCATTCGAATACATCATGTACAACAAGGGACTGATGACAGAGACGGACTACCCATACACAGCTTTTGTAACTCTATTTGCAATTGGTCTACATTACAAGCGCAACTAAATAATAAGAAAAACTGACTTTGAAATTAACATATCCAATGGATTTTGAATGTTTGTTTTTTGTTAAATCAGGAGGGTGCTTGTTCGTATAAACCTGAACTGGCGGCGGCTTATGTGAAAGATGTGGTGAACATAACAGCGGTGAGTGAACATCTTTCTCAATGTAAGATCAATGTAAGTATTGAACGCCTGTGAGTAATGATATCTTTCTGTTACAGTACAATGAGATGGAGATGGTGGATGCGGTCGCCACACGCAATCCTGTCAGTTTTGCCTTTGAGGTGACCTCTGACTTCATGCATTACTCAAAGGGCGTGTACACCAGGTGAGGAGAAGTCATAGAAATATTGTCAAATATTTTTCTTTTTGTTTTTCTCTAGGTTTGAGCTGTAGGTCACATCTTGAACTTTAAAATCACATTATACATTAAATGGAACACTAATTTATTTGTTTAGAGCATGTTCAGTCAAACAGTTAGATTTGAAAGTGGTTTAGTTCCTCTTTCTTTATTAAAACAGTCATGTGTATAAACTTCTCTTCCTCCTTTCAGCACTGAATGCCACAACACCACAGACATGGTTAACCATGCAGTGTTAGCAGTCGGGTATGGACAGGAGAATGGCACCCCTTACTGGATAGTAAAGAACTCATGGGGATCCAGCTGGGGGATTGATGGGTAAGTCTTCTATTTTACCACATTCAGGGATATATTACTAAATGTATAGGATGCCAACCAGAGAAAGATCAAAATAACGTTCTCCTCTTACAGATATTTCCTCATTAAACGTGGGAAGAACATGTGTGGACTTGCTGCCTGCTCATCTTTCCCGGAGGTGTGATTTTCCCATGATGGCAAACTACAAAAGGGCTGAAAAGGCAGCAGAATACTAACTTTTTTTTAATCATACAGGTTCATTTTTAAATAAAGACTAGCCTACTGTGTAACCATGTACAGTGGTGTTTTGCACAATGGAGTAAACACTATGATAGAATAGACAAGGTAATTTCCTGATATATCACTAAATCTGAAATGATCACTTCTTCGTTGTAGTTAAATTTACAAATAAAATATATATAATCCATTTGTTTGAGTCTTCCATCACAATACATTGCAGCTGTCTGCAAGATGCGCAAATATGAGGGCTATAGTAAGAATAATTGAAGATGGTATGATGATGTGTTGCTGTCTATGATTACACAAAACAACCCTAGAACAAGAAAGAGAGTGCACACATTAACAAAAACGTTGTAACCCACTTTGACATGTAAGATTAGTTGAACTGCAAACACAAAATACATTTTAACTGAGCTTCTAATTTCATTGTAAATAATTGTTGCATATTGATTGTATAGCGTAAATAATGTGTTAATACTTAAAACTCTTCGTAGAATGTTAATTGTGTATCGATCACATATACTGTGTTTTCAGTGTATATATATACATCTACGTTGAATGTTACTGATTCTACAATACTGCATCTGTTCTCTTACATTCCCCTGTGCTGCTATGTCAACCTGAATTTCCTCTACGGGGGATTAATAAAGTTATATCTTATCTCATCTTAGGGCAAAACTGGTTTATTGCATTAGGAATAAGTGATATCCATCCATCGTCAACCGCTTATCCTCTGTACAGGGTCGCGGGGGGGCTGGAGCCCATCCCAGCTGACATTGGGCGAAAGGCAGGGTACACCCTGGACAGGTTGCCAGTCCATCGCAGGAATAAGTGATATGAGTGAGCCTAAATGCAGCAGTCAAGACCTGCCTATAATCATTTTGTGGTGCAAAGACCTTAGTAAAATAGGCTACTGAAACATGCTCAGGTCCAATTTTTAGAATTAAAATGGCTTAAAACACAGATTTACAATTCTGCATGTTTTGCAGGTTTTAACACCCCACTACCTCAGGGACATACAACAACTTACCAGTAACATACCTGTGGTACAATTCGAATATTTCAAACATTTCTATGGTCAGTAATGCTGCCCTAGCAGGCTACAGTAGTTGAAAATGTGTCCAGAAAGAGCTTGGTTTATCCATATGGAAAAGTATCATTTTAAATTGACCAGCATTAACATTAACAGTACACTGAATTATTGCAGTGATCACATTTTTATGTTCACTTACAGTCTGGGAAATGTAGTATTGTACGAGGTCGGGTATGTCATAATACTACATTTCCCAGAATCCTCATTCCTGATTCGACCAATAAGGAGTCAGCTTGTTGGCTGGGCGCTAAATCTGTTGTCTGTCTGCCGTATACAGAAACTAAATGTTGGGGTAAAATTAGTAGATAAGACTGTCTGAGTTTAATGAACTTTACTGAATTACAACCCCGCGGCGAGACAAACTCAGCGCGAGCCTCCGGTCACTTGGCTCATCCCGTGTCACGAGCAATGCTGAAGAAACTGGCCGCCGCAACTTTGTGAACCTAGCTCGGACTGCTAGCTAGCTAACGCTCGCTAGTTCAGCTTCTTCTCCAACAATGTCTACTCTTCCACAAAATAACTTGAAGGAACAGCTGGCGAGGCACAGCAATGCGGCTCAGACCAGGTTGTCTCTGGCTAAACCCAAATCGGGGTAAGTTTACCGTGAGCAGGAAAATAACTGAAGCTAACAGTTAGCTTTGAGCTGTCAGCTCTGCTAACATAATAAACAGACGTCTGTATTAGCTAGTAATTAACGTTAGCGCAACTGGAATAAGGTAGCTTTGTCAGAGATTACAGACAAAAAAAAATGCATTTGCTTATTACCAGGGGCCCGTGCATCCAGAACAAGGTAGTTAACGTTAGTTTCACATCGCGATATGAACAATTCATCATGAATACAGTGAATTTATCACATAACACATTTAATATTGATCTAGCTGGTGGAGGCTCTAGAGACATAATGGAGACGTAATACTATGCACCTAACAATTTTAAAGTCAATCTATAATAATAATAATTTGCTCTGTTATCACTTGTAACTACTGATTTGACCTGAGATCCTGTAGCTCCAGCTGCTGCAACTGCTGTGGAAATGGTACCAGAACACACAATTAAATGTTACGTTCAGAAACAAATCAGCCATGTGTCTTTCTATATATGTCAGTGAGCCAGTTGTAACCATCAGATATTTATCAGACAGTTACATACAAAGAAAAAATACTAATTAATAGAAAACAATTTTGAAAGCACACAAAAAGATTTTGACTGTCCTCTTATCATCTAATCTAAAGTTTAATGGGCACAGTATGTTTTCATAATTTCACACCGGTTTTATTTTTCAGGGCCTTTTCTTTCAGAAAGAAGTCCTCATCGGGTACAACCAAGGTGGCAGTCCCGACCAAGGTAATCTGCACTAGTGTTTTGACAGACAGGAATGTCAATGTCCCTAAGAACAGTTTGGTGACTAAATCTCCTTTGACATTTTTAAACAAGCTTGAGAGATCTCAAAAATCCCAAATCAACAACTTCTTCTCTGTAAGTACAAAAGACAAGTCGGACTCCATTAGCCCAACAGGTAACTGTGCTCCTGCAGGCCAGACTCCTTCAGCAGTGTCTGGTCCAACTAAATCTGACAACCAGATTAAAAGTGGCACACAAGGCAGTTCCATAAGTCTGGATGCATCTCTTGGATTCCCAATGGATGACTGGGATGATTTTGATGACTTTGAAACTACTGCCAAAGGAAAAAATGACTCAGTAAGATCTGAAGTATCGGGGAAGAGCTCCAATCCACTGTCATCTCCCAGGGAAGACAAAACACAATTCACAGGGAAACTAAACCATGATGCCTCTCTTATGACGCCAGAGGAAAGCAACAGTTCTGCAAGCAAGAATGATCTTTGCAGAAGTGAACTATCTTGTATGAAAATAGATGAACTGGAGCACAGTGTTGACAAAGCTGCAGTTTCACCCAGACCTAGTTTGAACCAGGACCCAGCAGAGTGGGAACTTGAGGATTCTCCAGTTAAAATGAGCAGAAGACGTCCTCCTGCCCATCTTCAGGCTGTCATGAGTGATAGTGAAGAGGACAACGATGTGCTCGAGCCTTTTAAAGGAATGAAAGGTAATAAACTGCTTGTTGCGCATTTGCATTTTATTTGTACATTGTAGGGAGAATATTCAGATAGTGTGGGAAGCATTGCATTATTAAAAAAATACATGCTATATCTTTTTGCACTTTTTAGATGATAAGAAAACATGGATTGACCCTGAGGTAATAGAGCTTGATGGCAACTCAGAGCCTGAAGATGACCTTGATTACATTCCCCCTTCTCCGATCCCTGATGAGATCTCTTACACTACTTCTGCATTGGAGATGAGGTCAGTCTATGTATTTTACTAGTGATAGACAGATTAATCAGGCCGATATCTAGCATTTTGAAATAATCACTTTCCCTTAAACACCCGTCACGTTCTGAAATCTACAGCATAACCCAATATTTTCTCCATTTATTTAACTAATAAATAAATCCATCAAAAACAACACGTTAATGGCTAAACTAACGTGTATTATATTATGGAGTTATACATGACTTTTCTTACCATTGTTCCTGTATACATCGTAGTGAATTAGAATTAAAATGTGTATTTTCTGTAATCAAAACCAGTATGTTCACAGGAGTTGTACTGTTAAGAGTACTCCACTGATTTAGCATTACACTCTGTTTTTAAAAAAAAAATCAATCGATTTGATGTATCATAATTTTTTATTCCACACATTCTCCTTCCTTGTCTGAAACTAGCGCCTACATTGCCCATAATGCAGCTCAACTGCCAACAGTTTGGTTGGAGATTCAGGTCTGTTCTGCTAGTAGCTGCTAATGTAGCCTCTAGCTGCTGGCCTTAAAACAGAGATGAGGAGTGGGCTACAGAGGTCTGTTTCTGTCTAACTCCTCACCCCCAGATTTTTTTTAAATGATAAACTTTTGGTTTTCAGTTCTAACTGACGCTACCTCATCACATTACTTGAGGCATTTTATCAGACTTCAAGCCACAGAAGGCTTTTTACAACTTTTTTTTCATATGCAGTATCTCAGATAATCCTGAAATGTTTTTCTGTGAAACACAATACAAAAGTAGCTTTGTTAATAGTGATGCATTTAGACATGTGACATGGTAAATTTATGTTATGCTAACATCTCACCACACAGCCATAACATAGTTATGGCTTTAATTGGGTTTTTCTTGTTTTCTCTGTTAAAATCAGAGCTCAGGCTAACTCAAGGCAGTTTACAATGTCTACTTTTATCTACAATGTGGTGAGGCAGAGTCCAACATCTAACTGTGCACTATTGCTTTTCATCCAAACTCTTGTAGTAAACATGAACCTCCTTAGCTATGCTGTTTTTTGTAGTTTTTGGGCTTATGTGTACTGATTTGAAGAAAATGTCAGTTGATGTACACGTTGGTTAAAACAAAATACGTTTTACTTTTGACAAGTAATATGTATTTGATACAGTTATTATTGTGCGGAAAGTTGTAGTGCTAATGCTTCATATAATTTGTTTTACTGTAATAGATAAAAAGGAAGCAAAAGGGCATAACTTTTATTTTATTTTAAACAGATCTAAATCAGCTGATGCTGAAAGCAGATACAGTCCTGTGCAATCAAAGGGACCCGTCACAGCACTACATGAATCTGATCACACATTAGACAAAACAAGTGGGTGTTTTTCTGATTTGTCCAGAACTTGTTCACATTTTTGGTCATCAAATTAGGACTCTAATCTTGGTCTCCGTTCATTAATTTTGTTGTTTCTTTCTTTTGATCGCGTCACAGATGAGCAACTGTTAAGTATCATGGAGTCCATTTGTGCTCTGGTCGATTCCATCCCTGAACATGAGCTAATAGCTCTGTCTTGTGGAAGTGAGCTTTTGCTGAAGAGGGCTCAAAGGTGTGTATATTTGGGTAAAAAACAGCATTAATATTATTCATGGTATTTGAATGATATCTCACTATTATTGCAATCACCTGCCTTTTTTATTAACAAGGCCCGGGTAGCTCACTGACACTCCCCCCTTCCCTCTCAAATACTGCATATCTTTGCACATGTAAATATTATTTAATTTCACATCATTTTACACACCCGTTA